ACTGAGAAATCTAGCAGCAAAGAGTGATTGTTGTTTTTACATGTCACATGTGATACTGCATGAAACAGTCAGATTATCATCAGGTCATTTGGCTCAGACTACTACCATACTATCACCATTTCCTCAATGTATGCCATCCTTGGCAGAAAAAAAAAACTTGTATGATGCAGCATTCTTTTAGAGACCGTACCCTTATCCAAGCATTTCATTCACATCTTCAGACAATTAGAAATACACCAGTCTAGTCACGTTGAATCAGACGTTCCAGTTAGCTAAGCTGAGATACTTCATAGAAGTAAGCTCCCAACATCTTGGTGCCCTGAATATAGTTGGATCTGTCAAGGCAAAAAAGGGGGAAGATATTGAAAAACAAAATGTAAAAGATTGCCATTAACATTTTCAAGCATCCCAAGAGCATCTCATCTATCAGATAAGAAGGTCTCATAAATAAAATTGGCCTATGAGAGCAATGATTACCTGCTATCATATGCATTTGCAGTTTCGCAGCCACACCTAAATAACAAGACATAGCTATGCGTAAACATTACCTGTTGAGTTTCTCGTTTTGTGAGTGAGCCCCATCGTCAGAAGAACCGACAGGCAGCAGCATGACATTCTGGCCGGTTGCTTCTTGGAAGGTTAGAGTCACCGGGATACTTCCTCCCTCACGGGTCAGATCAGGCTCCACGCCAAATACTAACATCAGGAAACGATACAGAATTACATTAAACCACAAGTGTTTAGAAGGAATTAGAAGGAAAAAGGCCACATTGTTGCTTTGACAAGACAGACTCATCAGGCAAAATCAGTAAAAAGTAAAATATGTAATTGTGTATTTCGTTGGACAACAGGTTTATAAATGTTTCTCATTACACTGCGGTGTACATGAGCTCTATGTCAGAGAAAAGAGAGTGCGAGAAAGCACAGCTGGTATCAGTGTATCGATGCTGCGAGAAAAGAGTATTAAAATTATAGATATTTCAGTATTGATATGTTTTGAAAAATTGCTACACTTGTATCAACATTATATAAATATCATGCATCGGTAGTTGATGCATTTAAATATCTATGGTCTTTATTGAAATCAATATGAAAATATTTTTAAAATGTATATGAATGAATGAGGGAAAGTGTTTTCGATGCAGTAATTTCAGACATTACTTCATGTTTTTTTAAACCTCTTTTCGTCTGGTATTTCATGTCAATGTAGACTGGAATTACATGAGCAGTCTTATATCTACAGTCATACCATATGTTGTGTCTTACCAGTCTTCATGGCCTTTCTGCCAGCCATGTAGTGAGGATGGTTAAAGTCAGACACCCAGGCCTTGGCTCCATGTCCCATGTACACGTTCAGTTTGTTGGGAGTTTGCAATTCTGCAAACTTCTTCTCCACATGGGTAATTACCTATAAGAGAAGCTGCACATGTGAGCACAAGCACGTCTGTAGCAAAACAGTCATGTCTGTAAGGTATGCAGATGACTCTTTGAGGTTGGATAAGATCAAAACTTCAAACCTGTTTCTCCACCACTTTGGGATCCATATCAGGGACCAGGCGGATAGAGAACTTGCCAATGACCTTGCGGGGAATGACAGTTTTGGCTCCTCCCTCAGAGAAAGCTCCCTCTATGCCATGCAAAGAAAGGGATGGGAATCTCCAACGATGCATCAGAATTTGCTCCTGCACAAACCAATATATTATTTGGCTTAATATACATATAATTCAACATAAAACATGAATTTATATAAATGTCGGCAGCATTATTAAAAATGCCAATTTTTGAAACATGCTTGTTTAAAAAAAAAAAA